GATGGATGGATGGATGGATGGATGGATGGATGGATGGATGGATGGATGGATGGATGGATGGATGGATTTATTTTCAACTTGAAATATCTCCAAACTAACGAAATATAAAGTTATTAATGAGACAAATCATTCTGGATAACAGCAGACTGACTGCTTGTAAAATATACGACAGGTCTGGACCACTCCTGAATTTTGTTCGTATCTGAAAAAAATCTTAGAATACAAGAAAATTGGTGAATGCCACAAATTCTCCTAAATCACTCATAAGCACAACTGAAGAACAAATCTGTGCGTACCAACGGTTCTTGCATGAGGCCCATTGTCCTGCTGATGTGTTTGGATGATTGTCCTGCTGCTGAAGCTTCAGCTTGAGGTCATGAACAGATGTTCTCCTTCAGGATTTTTTGGTAGACAGCAGACTTCATGATACCATTCACCACAGCAAGTCTTCCAGATCCTGAAACTGCAAAACAACCCCAGACCATCACACTACCACCACTGTTTTACTGTTGGTGTGATGTTCTTTTCTGAAACGCTCTTACTTCTGCAGCAGATGTAGGATGACCTGCTCCTTCCAAAAGGTTCAAGTGTCTTATCAGTCCACAGAGGATTCTCCCAGAAGTCTTGGGGATCATCCAGATGTTTCTGGTCAAACTGAGACGAGGTTTTATGTTCTTTTTGCTCAGTGTCTTTATGGTGGAGGCCTGAACCTGAGCTTAGCTGATGCCAGTGAGGCCTGCAGTTCTTTGGATACTGTTGTGTGCTCTTTTGTGACCTCTTGGATGAGTCGTTGCTGTCCTGGGAAGGTTCACTACTGTTCAGTGCTTTCACCATTTGTGAATAACAGCTCTCACTGTGGTTCACTGGAGTTCCAAAGCTTTAGAAATGAGTTTATAACCTTTTCCAGACAGATAGGTCTCATTTACTTGATTACTTTTTTGATTGAGAACAGGTGTGGCAGTAATCAGGCCTGGAGGCTAGGGAATTAAACCCCAGCTTTCCAAAGATGTGAAAACCCACAGAGAGGCATTTACTGTATCACACAGGTCTCTGTAGGTTTAATCAAAAAGAAAAAATCAGTAGGTCCTCTGGATGGGTTCTTCTTTAGTGAAACATTTCATCTCTCCTCCAAGAGACTTCTTCAGTCTGATGAGTTTCAGGTGAACTCAGCCTTATAAGCACTGCCTCCACATGGACAAACAGGTTAGTCACATGCAAAAGAGAGCCATGTAGGTTTAGATTTATCTTTGCTTCAAAGACATTTGTTTTTTAACTTAATTTTGTGTTTTATCTTTGTCTATTATTTAATTTGTTTAGTGATCTGAAACATTTAATTGGGACAAACATGTAAAAGAATAAGAAAACACATTTTTACACCACTGCAGTTACAAGCTTATGAAAACGATACGTGAGGAAATAAATTCTGTATGGCTGATTGTAAAATAAAAACACTGCGAGGGATCAGACAGGCTCTTTATGTTCTGTTTGTTTCATGTTCAGAGACTGCACAGATTACTAAAATCTAAAAAAGTTACTGCAAAATTTAGCACAAATGATCTGAGCGATCAGACCAGGTAAAATCTGAACTGTGAGCACGGAAAATAAAATATCCAAGAAGCTAGTTTGACATCTTTACCAAAAAAATAAAAAAAAAAAAAGAGCATTAAAGTATATCTGAAATTCTACTCTAGTCTAAATAAGATTTAGATCTAGTTATCATCTTCTGTATTGGTCCCTGATGGTTAATATTTGACTCTAGTCTTTGTCACAACAAATAGTAGACAAGTTACCTCTGTGCATTAAATATTTCCTTCATATAATTAAATATAAAGGAATGGGCTGGGTAAAACTACAAAATAAAGTTCTGTTATGTAAAAGGGATCTTTTATATGAGGTTGAATTTTCTCTTTCTCTGCTGTATGAAGCTGAAGTTGTCTAGCAGGGATTGAGTGAGTGTGTATTTGTGTAGTTTAGCCTGTTCACTGTATGAATGTTTCTCTTTCCTTTGGCTGAACTTGACAGAGTGCTGAGGATGTAATTGCAGATCAGGCCAAGCAGGTACCAGATGACCCGTATGCCAATCTCAGCAAAAAGGAGAAGAAGAAGAAGAAAAAGGAGGTGCGTATTTGCTTAAATGAAACCACAACAGACGGTTACTAAACAGTTAAAATAGATCAGTGAAAGCTGAAGTGTGATCCAAATCACTGTACCATGTATCATTGCTTCACTGGAATTTATTACACACCTGGTAGACACAAAACATCAGCTGTAAATAAAAATATAAACAGACATTAACCCTGTACAAGCCCATGTGTTTTACAATGTTTCAGATTCTCTTTAGATAGTGGCAGGAGAAACATCCATCAGCAGGCAGAGTGCTAACAGGCTGTGTAAGGCCTGGTTCACAAGGTTTTCAAATTGTTGGTTGATTTTCAGAGACTGAGAGACGCCACACATGGCGTTAAAATCATAGATATAACAGGTTTGGTCCTACAGTGCAGGGGTAGACATAACCATTGTTTAGGTTGTCCGAGACAACCTGTTTTCATTTCGGACAACCAGATCCTGTCTCCTGGTTGTCCGGTGGACAACCAAGAAAAAAAGACCTTGATTAACAAGTTGTTAAATTAAGGGCCACATAACTTTTCCCTTCTCTGGTGGGGGGCCGGAGTCAGTTTGTAACAGAAAAAGTGTGACTATTGCAGGAGTGTCTAAATGTAAAAATTTATTGTTTTCCAGAAAGCACAATCAAATAACCCTGTCTGGGTTCTTCACAGTATGTATTCTGCTGAGCTAACCGTTCACTTTTTAGCTTTGAGAGTTTGTTTGCTCGCATTTGGCCTTGCAAGCTATCATACTTGTCTTTGTGACGGGATTCATAGTGTCGCCGCAGATTGTATCCTTTGAATACCGCCACCACCTCTTAGATGAACAAAAAAATAATCATTTGTCCACTGCAGCTTCAGTGCCCTGCATTCTGAATCAATTTTTCTCTTACCTACCATAATCTTTTCACCATTATTCCGTTCTCTCTTTGAGAGGGGCGGGTTTAGGATTATTTTGGGGGGGTTGCCAGATAGGGGCACAGACCGCAGAAGGGTAGAACAGAAGGTCACGTTATATGTGTGTATGTATGAAATAGTTACTAATTAATAATAGTTAATGAAAATAATTCATAACTAAGGAACATTTTATTGCAAAAGTCCAACTTTATAATCAAATACAAATACACATATATGAAAAAAAAAAAACTAAATGCTCTCTGGTATTGGTCTGGGGGCCGGACCAAATGGGGAGGCGGGCCGGATCCAGCCCGCGGGCCGTAGTTTGGGGAACACTGGATTAAACAAACATGGCAGACGAGTTTGTGGACTATTTTTAACAGAGAAAAAACATCTACGATGTCCACTGAACTTTCTGGTGCACCATGGCCATTTTGTCTTCTATGTTTTGAATTCCCCATCGGTTTTTCTTCACCTCACTTTCTGAATGGCTGCAGCTTGTTTGTCCTCGAGGAACACAACACAAACTGGGATATAAGGGCCAAGACAATCAAACATGTTGAATGTCCCAGATTTAAGTTTGTTGTGGTCCCAATGTTTTTCTGAGCTGACTAGTTCACTCTTAACACAGCATGAGTTTTATTATTTATTAACCTTTTATTTGCCTTATTTAACCAGGCAAATCCCAGTGAGATCACAGATCTCTTTTGTAAGGGAGGTCTTGGTCTGAAAGAAACCTTTTTCACAGGCCTTTGGTCTGTGGGGGAAACTGGAGGACCCAGAGAAAACCCACGCAAAAGGAGAACATGTAAACTCCACAGAAAGACCCCAGGCTGGGGATCGAACCCAGGACCTTCTTTCTGTGATGCATCAGTGCTAACCACTGAGCCGTTGTGCTGTCATTATCTTAAAGTGCCTGTGACATCAAATTTTTGTAATAAATATTAATGTATTTTTGGAAAGATAACATTGATAAAATATTGTAAAAAAAAAAAAAAAAGATTCACGCTGCTGAGATGAACAGTTTTTGAGATATTCACATGTGAAGTAACAGGAAGTGATGTCACAGGGGGATGTCTGCATGTGAACTGCACAGTGCCACTATGGCTAACAACAGATTAGAGAATAATCTGAGGTTTCTTTAAATTATTTTAAGCACTGTCATAGAGACGCTAGAGCAGGGGTGCCCAAGCTTTTTTGAACCAAGAGCTACTTTTGAAGTTGGCAGTTTGCCGAGTTCTACTCGTCCAGTCTCAGTATCAAAAAACATATTTTTTCATCTCCCTACTCCTCACTTCTTCAAAGTAAATAAAACAGAACATAATGTGTTGCTAGCTTTATTTAATTTAAAGTATTGTCAAACAAAACTATCTACTTAACCATATATTTACCTACAAAAAAAAAGAAAAGATAAAATCCTTACTTAACTCCTGACAGAGAAACAGAAAAGTGATGCTCGAACAAAAAGGATAAATTCTTTTACCTCCTTCATTTAATACTCCCTGTAACGTGTGAGCTATGAGGGCTGGAAACCTGTCCAGTGTGAGAACGACAGAGTCAAATAACTTTGGAGCACGGGAACTCGTCTCCATTTATTCAAAGAACTCTCCTCTCTTTCTCTCCATTCAGGGGAGGAAAAACAAAACATAAAACAAAAGTCAAAACACACAACATAAAACTCTCTCGTTTATACTATTACAAAAAATGACTTACGATGGTGCAGATTCACAAATCTCCCAACAACTATTTCAAACCTCATTCTGCAGCAGGATGGTGTCATCTGTAGGTGTTGAAGAGCTCAGTCCCTCACTGGTCCAGACTGCCGGCTCCAGACCATTCAAAGAGTTCCACCTGGTTCACCACCTATAAACAAGATACACACACAGCCACGCTAGGTACGGAAAACAAGGGCACACCCAAACTGCAAAATAAATAAATAAATAAATAACACAAAGGTGCTAGTCAGTGTATAAGACACTAGTCTGGTCTAAAATGTAATAAAAAAACAACAACATACAGACACATTGTGACAAGTCTAGAGGTGACAACTTTTTATGCAAGCTATATAAAAATAATGTATGTCTACCTTAGTGGGACTTCTGACACTGAGAGGAGGCCAGGGTCTCATAGGCAGGCAGTATGAGGTGGTTGAGGTGTAAGCAGGTCTCCAGATGATCACCAGTCTTTGTGGATCTGTTGTTGGACTTGATGATTTTCATGTGAGAGAAAGCAGACTCCAGAACTCTCCATCCATGCGACTTGTTGCTCTGGATTTGATCCCAATGTCATTTTGCAGAGTCAAAACCTAATTTTCAACCCAGAGCAGTCCAGACTGAAACACGGACATGAATTTGGACACATCCATCCATCCTGGTGGACAACTGCACGTCTTTATAGCAGCCACAATCTCACTTTTATTTTTAAAATCACGGAAAAGCACGTCTGCAGAATCAAACGCTTCTTTCATAACTTCGTCATCGCTGAAAGACTGTTGAGGCAGGTACGGGGCTGCATTAGCATAGCAGCCTTACCTTAGGAGGGGTAATCCACTTCGTAGCATCTGTGCATTCTTTTGAAAGAAATGCTGTTCCACGTTATCCTGCCAAGGCAGTGCTCAAATTACATATGAGTCCTCTTCCCACTCCAGGTGAAAATAATAAGTTTTTATTTGCTTGTTAACTGTCTTTCGTTCAACATTTTTTTTCCGCCTCGCTGCCATGTTTTAACACATGACCCTAATCTCGCAAGACCATGTTCGGAGTGCTGTTTCACAGCACCCAAAACTAGCGAGACTGGAGCGCGTTCAAGAATGCAATGTTAAACAAATGTTGACAAGGGTGTGTTCAAGAATGCAATGTTAAACAAACGTTGCAAAGAGTGCGTTGAAGACTGCAATGTTAAACAAATGTTGTGAAGAACGCGTTAAAGGCTGCAATGTTAAACAATGTTGTGTTCTACAAGCTCCGTGATCCATTGCTCCATGAGCTACTGCTAACCAGCTAAAGATCGTTGGCCTGGCCTGCGCTGGAGAAAGAAAGTAGAGATGAAAAAGAGTCATAGTTCAAAAAAAACAGGGAGTTTTCGTTCTCAAAGAGTTCCCCTTTGATGTCACTTCCTGTTTCATTTAGCCAAGGCAAGTTCAAAAGAAAATATGTCGATTATGTACCATAACAGTAAAATCCTGTGTATTATGCCAAGAATGAATATATTTTCTTTGACTTTTTGTATTTCATGGATATGCATGTCACAGGCACATTAAAGGATTATCTTTAGAGCCGTCAAGGATAATTTGTGCGTCCTTAACATTATTAGAAATGCAAAATCAGGACAAACAGAACCTGGCATAAGATCTTAGTTTAAAACTTTAACATGCAAGGTGGCTGCTGATGTGCAGCCCTCCAAGAGGATGCAATTTTAATATAAAAATATAAAATAAGCTCCATATAAATAAAGTAATGATTCTAAAGTAAATGTGCTCATTGCACAGAATAATTCTGGTCTTTGTGCAGCCGAACAAACTAATAATCGTATTCAGATATTGAGGCTGTAGCAAACTTTTATTACATTCTTACACAGCTAATTGATGTGGTAGTAGCTGGGAGTTATTCACAACACACTGAGGTTGACATCTTGCAATATTGACTGAGATTATACAGAATGTTATTTGCCAAAGTTGTCCAAAAAGGCGACAACTCTGTCGTTTTTCCACATAAGATGATTTTAGACAGAGACTCTTATATGAACTTAAGTTTCCAGTTCTTTGTTATGGAAATACTTGTTTATAACAGTGGCGGCTGGCCAATAAGGGGTGCTGGTTCCCTGCCCCCCTTGTAGTTTTGGTACACAAAAATAAAATAAAATAACAAAAGAAAATGTTATAAATGTTTCGACAATATATTGTATATATGTTTTCTGATAAGCAAAATAAATAATTTATAGTTATTGATGTGTAAACTTCTATTTTACGCATAAACGTTTCCGTGTGAGTCACTTCCGGGTCACGCCGGGGGTCGGCGCTAGTTTGTAAATTCATAAATATGTTTGTATTGTTTGTTCTGAAATGTGAAATAGGATCAAACTACCAGTAACTATTTGCATCTACATTTGACACAAGTAATGTCTCTTACAGATTTAATGTGATAAGATTTGCTTTAGGTTGTGCATGTCATCTACACTTATGACATGTGTTGCATTTGATGTGTTTGTTTGTTTGTTTCAGAAAGAGTATGAGCGTCAGATTGCTAGCGTTCGTGCTGAGAGTGCCCTAGAAGATTTCTCCATTTCCCAGGCTGAGATGTCCTCCAGACAGGCCATGCTGGAAAACGCCTCAGATATTAAGGTTTTTAAGTTTTTGGATTAGACTTCCACATGAAGATGTTTTCTCTTGTTTTATTCTTTCATTTGATTTAACTGAAATGAGAATATGGTCTTAGAAATGTTGCGTGAAGGTTTGTTTCGTGTCCTCTAGATTGAAAGGTTCAGCATATCCGCTCACGGCAAGGAGCTTTTCATCAACGCTGACCTTCTGATTGTGGCAGGAAGAAGATATGGTTTGGTTGGACCAAATGGGTAAATAAGTATTTTGTAACTTTTTGCTTTTAAAAGAAGTTCAAATAATATAATTTCAATAAATAAAGACCAGAGAGTTGTCTTTCTTAAAGCGTTCCCCTTTGATGTCACTTCCTGTTTCACTTTGGCTGAGCCAAATTCAAAAGAAAATAGTCCATTTTTGTGTTCAAATGGGTAAAAAAAATCACATTTTATGCAGGGTTTCTTACATAAGTGTTTTCTTGGACCTTGTGTATTCAGTGGATAGGCATGTCACACACACTTTAAAGTGTTAAAGGGACTATTACCTTCTTCCTAAAGGAGTTCTAACACATGGATTTAGGTCTAGACGTACTGAAACAGCCTTTTCACTTAGCAGTTTTAATCTGGGACTGATGTACACTCTGTCTGCATTGGTGTTGTGTGAAATGAGTGGTGGAGAGGGAGGATGAAGTTGATAAACCACTGATACACCTCTGAACCAGCAGGAGCCGTGCTGGTGAACACGTGTGCTCCTCTAACCATTCTGCATCACTCTGTAGTGTTTGTAAGCTCACATTGTTGAATGGTTTGGTTGCCTGTTCAGTTCATGGAACAACCAATATCTGTTTAAATAAGAAGTTATATTTGTGAAATGGGCTTATTGTTCAAATTAACAGTCATTTTCTGTCCTTGTTTCTCAGAAAAGGAAAGACCACATTACTGAAACACATTGCCAACAAATCTCTCAGTATTCCCAGCAATATTGATGTGTTGCTGTGTGAACAAGGTGAGTGGCCTGTTGTGTGTCCATCTCTCTGACTGTTACAACCAACAAACTTCTGTTCTCCTTGTTCCTCAGAGGTGGTAGCTGATGACACACCTGCGGTACAGGCGGTACTGAAGGCTGACACCCGCCGCCTGAGACTTCTGGAGGAAGAGAAACAGCTTCAGTCTCGTCTGGAGAAAGGAGAGGATGGTGTGGTTGAGAGACTAGACAAGGTGAATACTTTGTATTGACTTGCTAAGGTATTCTATGGAAGCGATTGTGTTCCATAATCCTAATTAAAATGGATTAATAGAAATGCTGTTTCATTTTCAACATGTACCTGA